CAAGCAGAATGCTGCAGTTGGACAAACAGAAGCCTGCCCTGGCCCATACCTGGTACAGCATGAAGCTGAAGATACAGCCCTACCACCAACAAAACAAACAAGTGACCTTGTTTTAACAGGACAAAAACGTATTTTCCAGGCTTCTATGAAGCAAGGTGGACATGCAATGATTAACAGCAATAATTTTTAAGTCCATTCTGATAACTTGAGGGAATTTTCCTTTCACTCAAAGAGCAACCGTTTTTAATGTACACAATGTTTACCACTATCCATACAAGTTTATCATTTTTTTTATGGGGGAAGGGATACTTCTAAAAAAAAGGTCTAGACTTCTAAAACCTCTTTTCATGTACTGACACACCAACCTTTGAAATAAAGAATAGGTTCCGATTTGAAAAATTAAATCCATAAATGGTGTTTCTAGCATTTATACATAGAGATTTCTTTTGTAAAACTCTATATCCTTTAAACCTCCTGCCACGATTTACTTATTACCAGGGCCCATACAAGATGGTTAGTTTCTTAATCTGAGGTTGGAGCTGTAGGAAATCATACACTTACCATGTGGGCATTCAGCTGCTCCCTGGCCGTTTCTGGTAAACCTCCCAGGGGTTTGGATGCTAACAGATGGCGCTCCGTGTCGGTCAGCCACTGCTGCAAATCCTCAATTTCGCCATGGAACCCTTTGGCCTAGAGTGACAGAGAGTTTTAAGTCTGGGCCACAAACACTGTCACTTCCACACAGAAAACAAGGTTTAAACAATCCCGCCTGCTAACCCTCTCTCCGCATTCTTAAGAACAGCCAGGTGCCACTAAGCTGGCCTTGCCTCTCTTCTTCAGGAGGGCGCTGGTAGGTAAGACTATTACACTAAGAACTAGAGAGCCTTCCCATCAGTGCTCTTTATCCCACTTATTTTTAACACTTCTTGAGGTGGAAAAATTAAGCAGGGTTTTTCAAACCAATGAAAGAATTGCATGTTTTTTTGGTCTTGAAGACTACAGACAGTTTCAGAACGTATTCTCTCATTCACCTGGCGCAAGGCACCATCCAGCTGCTGCTTCCGTTGTCCTGTTTTTTCCAAAACATTTTGCCAGCGTTGATTCAAAACCTCTAGTTTGTTCTGAAGGCTGCTTGCTTCTTCTCCTGCACTTGATTCAATTAGATCATTTCCTGCTTTATTAACAGCTTCCACTGTGGACTGATGAGCTAATACATCATTTTGGAGCACCTGAAAATATTAAGATAACACTATGGTTGCTAGTTTATAACATGTTAACATCCCTTTCAATGCAATGGTTTTCTTTTTTGGTTTTGAAACAAAGACATCATCTACATAGAATTTTAATACTAATTAAGTTTTAAAATGATGGACTTCTTTTCCCTTACCTTTGTAGCTTTCCTGTCTACCAACATCCCCTGAAATGATTATGTGAGACCATTGCAAGTTCTTCCCATTAGAATAGCTTTGCAATGGATGACATTAAGTATATGACATTATAATTAAAAGGCTCTGAAAGTATTCATATGATTCAAGCTCATTTTAATTGACCTTAATTTTAATGTTGTAAGTAAACAATTTAAGAGATGTTTATTTCTATACATCCATTTTCAAATATAAAATTATTACATTTCTAAGATAAACAGCACTAAGGTTTACAATTAGCACTCTAGAAGGGAAAAATTACCCTAAAATATTCTTTTATTTCCTCTCATTGGAATGGTGCTGGAATTGACTACTAAGTTGACAGGCATCTTAGGAGGCCCTGACACTAAAGGGAAATAGATTTATTTCACTGTATATCGGGGATTCTCAAGCCCAACATTCCAAATTTGAGCTACTCTTTTACTAGAAAATACACATGAGATGCTTACTACGTATCCCAGCAAATAATGTCCTACTATTCTGTTACACAGTGGAAATACTAGAATGGGTTAATGACATTAGCATAGGCAAGTGGTTCAGTACAGAATGCAACTGCAAGGCTAAAAAGATCAATTTTCTTATACTGAAAAGAATGATATGAATTACACTTTAAAGAACAAATATAGCTTAGTAATAGTTTCCTTTGAAGAAGATTGCAGTTTTGTTTTTGAGAACCAAACACTTCCTCAAATATTAATAAAAATTGATAATAATCCTTCTCTACACTCACTGATTCAGGATTATCCATGGGAAAGAAAAGAAACATCACCTCCCGTCCTAGGTAAGATATCTCACATCTGGACCCGGAAGGATTTTCACTAATGGGTACCACCCACCTACCATCACTTTTTCTCTGACTATATATACTCATTTTCTGAAGCATCTGGTAAGGGAGTGATTTTCAAAGACTGAAAAATCAATTGAGTAAGGAATCTTCTTTACAATTCTCATACTGTGAGTTTATAGCATTTACATTCCATTTATAATAAGCATGCTCTCTGACATGCTAACACTAGGAGCCACCTTTAAAAGGTCAGATTTAAATATCCTCGTAGTCAAAATATAAAAAATAATTCTAAAAAATTCATTCTCTTAAATGGTCCAAGTCCTATATAAGCCACAGCCTAGGAGCCAGAGAAAAAGGTAGGAGAGAATGGAAATATTTCCTCCCTTCGTCCAACAATTGTGCTGGCAATTCTAAGTCCTTTAACTTCTGACCTTTGAGAAATGAAAGGAGAAAGAGATCCATTTTTAACTGCTCCAAGATAAACAAACAGAAATAAAAGGTCCCTAACTCATCCCTCACCCAAATAACTGGGTCAGAGTGCCTCGTTTTTCCACCTCTACTGTATTCTACAAAGTTCCTGTCACTGATGTATATGACCTTCTAGGGCAATTGCTAAGTTTATGGAATGTAAATGCTATAAATTCACACTATGAGAATAAACACGTTTTGTTTATATGCAGAGTCAGCCTCACCAGTCATTACTGCTCTTAGCCACGGTATAAGATAGACATTAAATTAAAAATATTAATGATGATTAACTGCTTAATCAAATGTGGTTGGGCAATGACTACAAATATAGACAGAACAAGGGAAAAAAAAGAAAGCAAAATTTAAATTAGGGAAAAATTACTGTGGGGAAAAGTATGGAAGGAGAGCTAAAGGACAAATAGTCAAAAACTGCATATCATAATCTTATAGTGCTAAAAAATACCTTTCACTTTTTAAATGCTACTAATTATGTAAAATAAACTTTTTCCATTTGACAATGAAAAAAAAATCTTACTTAAGGTTAGGACTTAGTACCTAACCTTAATTAAGTACCACTATTAGTGTGAATGTTAAGGTTCTAGGAAAGGCTACTGAATGTCAGGCTAATCTCTACTGAGCACATAACCTTATATTCAGTAAGCCTAGTAGCTTAAAAAGGGAATTTTCTATTAAGATTTGTCAACTAAGTGTCACAAAGATAATAATAATATAAAGTTGTATCGCAAAGATCTCTATTTTCAATTTATAAGCTTTAAATCTAGTGCAGGACATAAAAATTCTTTTAAACATAATATGTTAAAAACCTAATTCAGAAAGAAAAAGAGTAGGAACACAAAGCCAATGAAAAACTGGACAAAGGGCCAGAAAAGCAAGCCTCAACATAATGAGAGACATACCGATAGAAGTATGTTAGACATGCCAATCAAGCAGAAAATGAGATCAGGGTGGGCAGAGGAAAAAAACACACAACCTGCAGTGGAATAACATTTTGAATTTCTAACTTATTAGGCTATTCTCAACAACTTTTGAAACTGCCACATTAATCCAATGACAGGTATGATCGGGGATTTAAACCTGCATGCAGCCCTGGTAAAATTCAGCCAGAAATTTCCCATCCTTGCTGTTTTTGATAATAATTCCCTTGAACAATGAGAAAAACATTTTTAAATATTTTAGGAAGTGTGTTTTAAGTAGTTTAACCTTTAGTTACAAATTCAAATATGAACTTGTGTTAAAATGTCAATTTAAAAAAATGCATAAAAAAAGAAACATTAAAAAAAAACTGATGAAACTGGAAATGCATAGAGAAGAAACATAATAATGCAACCACAGCTACGTACGTGATGCTTGGCAAGTTCGATTTCAATGGCTTTAGGGTCTCCTCCCACAGGTTTCTGTTCATTTAGCAAGCCCTCGGTGTGTGTCAGCCACGCCAGTAGCTCGTCCAGAGCATGTTGGAACTGCCCCAAGGCTAACAGGGCACCCTCCAGCTTATGCTACAGAAAAAGTGGAGAGGAAATAAATCCATGTATGAACCTGATATTGTGAATAACATATATTTATAAAACAAGGGCAACGAATCAATGTTTCCTGCAGCATTAAGTCTGTAAGCATATCCAGTGAAGCCCAATTGTCATAAACTTCTACATTCTAAGTCTGAAACGACTTATGTTTAAAAAATGGCATGTGACAGGCAGAGAGTTCTAATGAAACTAGAGGCCTGGTGCACGAAATTTGTGTACGGGTCCCTAGGCCTGGCCAGCAATCAGGGCCGATTGGGGCTTTCCGGCTGCCAGCCAGGGCCTTCCTTCCAGCTGCTGGCCAGGGCCTCCCTTCCCCAGCTGCTGGCCGCCGCCCGGGGCCTTCTTTCGTTGCGTGCCACCCCGCAGTGGTCAGCACACGTCATAGTGAGCAATCGAACTCCCGGTCTCCCGGTCAAACTCCCAAGGGGACACTTTGCATATTAGCCTTTTATAGATAAGAGAACTTAGGGGATTCAAAGTTTATGTAATCACCTAATTTTAGTTTTTAATAATTATTTTACATTAATACATAAAATTGGGATTTTATAAATTCTTAACAAAAGTGTTGGTACTTACCTGTCTGTTGATAATTCTTTCATCCAGACTATCCCATATCAATTTCAGTTCCATTAATGGGTCTTGAACAGTGTGTTTGTCACTTTCTTCTGTTACTTTCTTCAGCAAAAGCTCTGCTTGATGGTTCAGTCTCTCCATCTCTATCTGTTGTTGATAGGCCTCTGACTTAAATTGCTATTTTTTAAAAGAGATATACAAGAAAAATTTCCTGTAAGTCCACAACTTTAAACAAAAATAATTCTATGGGTTAGACCTATATTCTAACTCATACTTTTTATTGGGGAGTGGGGTGAATAGGAATTAAAATGTAACAGTTTTCCAATAAAAGAGTTATAGACAAAAAAGGGAGTTCTTTTTTCTTTACTCAATGTTTTCTGATGAAAAGATATTTCTATAACTTTGATATTTCACTTTTATACTCTACAATAAAAAATTAACAAATTTCAGGGCTAAACTTATTCCAATGTCTAATTACATATATTCAATAAATGAATTTTGAAATTATAGCAAAGGAGAAAACAAAATGTTATAGACATATATAAAACCCAGAAAAATATCTCTAAGAAACTCAAATTAATATTAATTCCTCAAAATTATACACATATATCCACTGAACATCTTGTTTTCTATAGCTGTGTTGTGTTCATTAAATATTTAGTTTTCCCTCTGACTCACCCACTGCTCACTCAGAATAACATTATTCTCTCTCCCAGTGCTTACTGATACATATTAGTAATCTTACCTTTGCCAACCAACACAGGTTAACAAACGGTTGCTGGTAATAGGAAACTGTTCTTTCATAAAATATTTAATGTATAATAGTAAATAATTAAATGGTAAGTAATAACTAAGCAGCCCCTTAATTTTTTCAAGCATATAAAAATAATAATTAAAAAATAATAACTAATGCATATAAGTTACTCTCCATAAACTAATAAAGAAAATAATTTTATTCTCAATTTAAACTAAGGACATAGAAGTGAGACCAGTTAGATAACTTTCCCAAGATTATTTAGCTAGTAAAGTGAATGAACTAGAATGCAATCTCAGACAACCTCATTTCATAGAGAGCCTTCCTAACCCACCAGCTATATGAAAACCACTTAGATACATGCAAATGTCCAAAATAAATAAATCTCCACAGTCATAAGAGTATATGAAATATATCATGGGTTTCTATATGATCAGATAAAAAAGTAAAAAAAAAAAAATCCCAATTTAATGATGGTAATAGTAAACTTCTCCAAAAATCCCCACTTTTTTTTTCTAAACGAAATATTCTATATCACGCTTGGAGATGAAAATGCTACAATTTTAAAGCCAAATCATAATTTTATATAAAAATATAACAGAGTTCATTGGAAATGGTGTGATGTGTCTGCGGATGGACACTTAAAATCGGAAGGAAATCGCCGATCCCTCTTTGATAAATGATCAGCACAGAGGAATTTAAAGAGGAAACAGTCCAGCCCTTTTCACAACTGGAGATGAAGAACCCCCCAAAACAAATTTAGGGAGGAAAGCAGATGGAAAATAAGAAACAAAACAAACATTCTGAGAAACACAATCATCCTATATGTGGTTCTTCAGCCTGTAAGACTAAATGAATTATTCTGAACACAATGAAGAAAATAAAAATGTTGCTCTATGTATATTGACAGTAACAGATTATTGAATAATAAAGCTATAAAAATCCTTACGGTATTATCTACATATGGATAAAGCACACACATGACCCCTATACCTCATCCTGCCCCCCACGGGAGAATACGTCAAAGGCTATAAATTATATCTCAAATGTGTTTGCCTCTGGGTACATAACAGTTTGGGTGGCCAAAAAAGCCACCTTTTCGCTTCTTTGTATTTTCTGATTTTATTCTAAAGTAAACAGATACTGATGTAATAAGAAGAAAACTATTAGTATTTATATTCTTTATTTAAGGAACACTTATATACTGCTTAGTAGGTGAAGGTATTATATTAAACCAGTGTCATAATCAAAATGTAATACTTCAATTATGTAAAATAAATCCATTTACGTAAAGAGAATCTTGTGAGTCAAGAATTTAAAAAGGGAAACAAAGTCTTTGACAAATTATCCCTCAGCCATACCTTCAGCTCTTCAATCTGCTGCTTGACAGTTTCAAGATCAGTTCCGATCGGAGACATTGCAGCTAATTTACCACCTGCAATATCCACCCAGTCGAATATTGCCTGAAAAACACATTAGTCCACGTGTTATTATAACAGTACATCTGAAACTGCTTCATAGCTTGAGGTTATAGAAAAGTACAATCATAAGCCTGTGAAGATACTATGCAATGAGTCTATTTTACAAATAATAAGATGGTTCATCTCAATAGGTAAAAGCTGCAATATACTGCAACAGTTGTCCAAACTATGAAATAGATGTCACCTCCAATTATGTATCCAAGTTCACAAAGGAAATTCTATTTTATAGAATTTTAGAATGTTAAGAACTTTAAATGCCCATTTGAAAAAAAGTTTTGTAAATTCAATCACAGGAAATCAAATTCTCTATACTCTCTTATGTCCCCCTAAAAGCAGAGTATGTAAATATGTTGAAAGAAAAAGATTCAAACTCATCTACTTATCCAAATAGTCAAGAAACTTATTATTGTCACTTAGGAAAATAAATATTTGGCTCAACTAAACCCTTCCATATCAATTAGGTTAGTGTTAAAATCCTGCAGATATAATGATTAATAGTAAGACTATTATTCTGAATTGCAACATAGACTTCAAAATCTCCTATTTTTCTTGTTATTTTTAGGTAATATAAACATCCTAAAATGACTCAACTCATATTTTTTCAGGTATTGACTACACAAAATTATTTTGCACTTTAATGAAGTTGCCAGACCATACAGTAGGGGGGAATCCTTGGGAAATATCTGGTATTATTTTTAAGATTTTTTATTGATTTTTTTTTAGAGGAAGAGAAAGGAAGAGGGAGAGAGAGAAACATCCATGTGAGAGCAAAACACAGATCAGCTGCCCCCTGCTTGCCCCCTACCAGATATCGAGCCTGTAATCGAGGCATGTGCCTTACCTAGAATTGAACAGGCAGCCTTTTGGTGCACAGGATGACACCCAACCCATTGAGCAACACCATCAGGGCAATATCTGTTTTAAAGTTACCATTGATAAACTCTAAGAACTTAAGCAGCAACTTGGGAAATAAAATTTATTTTACTTTACAACCAACCTCAAAACCTCTGGAACTTCTTGTGCTTCCGACCTCTAGCTCTAGCTAGCCATAGCTATTTAGTAAGTCAGGGTGCCCTTCATTCCCACCTGCTAACCTACAATGGGCCTTGTTTTCGCCGCAGTGGTAATGAGACTGTATGAATCATGGTATCTAGCCTGTGGCTCCTATGGTTCATGGCTCCTGAGGTCAAATGGCTGCAAGTGGTGACAGTGACATCTCTAGCCATGAAGGAGGGCACAACTCAACGACTTCCTAAAGTACGTGACAATCATGACCTGGCCTCACAGACCGAGAGCTAGGGCTTGATTAGTTACTAGTCACGGATATCTAACCAATGAATTACCACTCTGGTTGAGAAAGGGAAGGCTATGGAGGGGGAAAGTTAGAATAAGGTCTTATTTGTAGCGAATTTTTTCATCTATTTCCAAATTCAATACGCCTTTCAGCTGGCATAAAGCCTGGCTTATGCTATTTATTTTTATAAATATAGAAGTGGAGCAGCATAATAAAAAGGAAAAGATGTTACCATCTGAGCTTTAATAATACTAGTCACTTGGTGTTATGGAAATACTTAGAAAGGCTTTTTCCATGCGGTAGGAGGGAAGAAAGATTAAACTCTTGCCAGCCTTAACAACAGAAAATGGAATAAAGTTAAGGAAGGTGGGGAAAGAAACAGCCCTGGGTTGGCCTCAATTGACAAGATAATTTTTAATATTTTTTTAAAAAACACATTAAAAATAGCTAATAAACTAAATGAGACCCTGGAAGGGACGTGAAAAATAGCTTTTAAAAGGAATGATGTGCATAAAAAAGAAGAAAACCCTTTTTACACAACAGATTATGACATAATAAAATAGAAATCTATTTTTGTTCATGGGGAACACTGGCCTCAAATCAAATTTCTTTACTTCTGACTTTAGTGAAATTTGGTGATATTTTAGATGGTGTTTACTGCATTCATCTTACTCCACTAAGCTGTAGCATAGAACTCAGACGCAGGTCCATGTCAGTGCCTGGTGCTGAGCCATTTATGAAAAAGACTGTGAGGGAATATTTTTTAAAATTTATTTTCCCTTTATCGATTAAGATATTACAAATGTGTCCTTATCCCCTCAGTCCTGCCTCACCCTCACCCCCTGTTGTCCACATCTATTGCTTATGTTTATATACATGCATTCAAGTCCTTTGGTTGATCTCTCCCCCTCACCTCCACCCTCCCCTACCTTCCCTCTGAGGTTTGAGCATCTGATCGATGCTTCCCTGTCTCTACATCTGTTTTTGTTCATCAGTTTATGCTGTTCATTATAATCCACAAATGAGTGAGAGCATGTGATATTTATCTTTCTCTGACGGGCTTATTTCACTTAGCATAATGCTCTCTGAGGGAATATTTACTTTCACTTGAAAAATTAAAATACTTCTTTCCACTGAATGTGTGTCTAAAAATGTATTTAAATGTGTATATAAATCTACATATATTGCAAGTGCCAGAAATACCTTCTGAAGGCAAAACATGGATTGGAGTAGAGGAGGAAACTGCACGCACCCTTGCAGCCCCCGGTGGTGCCAACGTGTAGATGTGGAGACATCGGTCAGCATGACTCCCTCCCCCAGCAGGTGCACCCCAATCCCCGTACCTGCAGTCCATCCTGGTACTGAACGGCAGCCTGCATCGCCTCCTCCAGTCTGGCCACCCGGTCTTTCCAAGCTTTGTTGAGAGAATCCCATGCTGAGTTTAACTACAATATAAACATTAGGACTCCTTTATTGTCATACATTTTCAACTACTTCTATCCAATATGCTTTAGTGAATGAAACCTTTAAACACAGCATTCTGGTAAGAGTAGAAAATGTACCTCATCTATACTCTTCTTGACAATGGGTTTATCGGGTTCCCCACACGCGGTGATGAGTTCGGAGCCCAGGTTAATCACTATATCCAGCTCTTCCTGGAGCCCATCAATTTCTTCCCTGATGGCCTGGAATAAGAAATGGCAGCCGTAGAATTTTAAGCAAAAAACCACACTAAAACTAAAAAGATGCACACAAGCATTCATGGTAGTTATTTCTAGGAGGTGGGATTATGATCAATTTTCATTTTCTTTCTGTTTTCTAAGTCTCTGCAATAAATCTTTTCAATGAGGAAAGACAACAGGTCAAATGGCTGCAAGATAACAGAAGAAATTTTTCAAGAAATAAAAGCATCCTTTGAGTAACAAATATCAAACGTTTATTAAAAGGGCAATATTTGGGAAATAATTCTATGTAACAAATACCAGAGCAATTTTTTAAAGCACCAACACAACAATACTTATAAAACTTAGAAAGACATTTTGTTTTTCAAACTGACTTGTTTGACAATACACATTTAAATTAGGCATAAGTAAAACATGAGTTCAAAGACCTCACACAAAATTATGTATTTGCTTAGCAGATTTAGGGTAATCTAGCTCTGGATTTATATTTTTATCCTAGTACATGTAAACTACAAACAAAATAAAACAAACAAACAAAAACCTGTAACAGAAATTCAGTCTTCTACCTTTGCTTTTATCTTCTTGGTTAAATGTATTTATTAATTCAAGAAACCTTTACCAAGCATAAAACAAGCCCTATACTAGCGTTGAGCATACAAAGAAAAATAAGTATATGACTATTTCACTTATGGGGCTTGAGTTCATCCAGACAGACAAAGGTATAATTAATGATAAGTCATACGAGGCATAGAGTCCTTTGCCTGGGGAAGTATTATGAGAGCACCAACTAACTCTGCTAAGGAAACAAGAAAGGATTTTACATGGAGGGTAACTACCCTACTGCATCTTGAAGTTTGAGTGGGATTTGCCAGGAGGGTGATAGGAAGGACATTCTAGGGTGAGGAAATATAATGTGCAAAGATGCAGATGCCAGAAAGAGCACAGCAGTTTGGGAGAAAGGCCCTGTGTGCACCACAATAGGAGCAGCAGAAGAAAATGGCTTTGGATACACACGGGCTGGCCGGCATAAAACGGCCCAGACCCTGTCTAGGGAGTCTGGACTTCATACGTAGGCAGTGGCGGACTCTGAGGGGTTTGAAGTAACAACACAATAAGAGCAGATCAAGGGAGATGACTGACAGCAGGGTGAGAGGCCTGGCTAGGAAAGAGACTGTATCACTTTGGATTACTTCAGAAAACGAGAGAGATGATGAGGCCCTGAAATAAGGCTGAAGCAGTAGGGATGGAGAAAAATCTTAAAATATATGCTGTCTTAAGTGAAATTTGTGGGTGTGCTAATCTCCTACTATATCACTATGCATTCCACTTTCAGAACCAAATATAAATTTCAATATGGTAATTTTGAATATTAACCAAAGGAATTCACTTTACAATATACAACTTATTTCTTCACTTTAAATGGGATACTCTGCTTACCTCTGCTGCTTCTTGCTGCTGTTTTACTATGGAGGGATCAATTCCAGGATCCTCCAGATCCCGGATGAAATCCTGAGTATCTTTTGTGGTCACGACCAAGGACATGTGATCACACCAGAACTTTTCTGCTAATTCCATTACATCCAGTAGTTTGGCTTCCCTTTCTTCCACCAGCGTGTGTATGTTCTCCCAAATGAAAACCATTTGGTCAAGCTTATCCTGAACAGCTATGGAGTGAAACAGTATGAAAAAGGCAGTATGTTAGCCCTATTTCAGCAAGAAAGCAGAACATTTTGGTTCACACTGAAACGGTGATCCAATATGGTATCTAAAATTGGACCAAATGTTGGTTGATCCCAGTCTTGTGAGTACCATTGGGCACAACAGCCTATTCCAGACAAATGTGAGATCTGAGGACACCCAGCTAACTCCTAGCTGAAGGCTCTTCCTGATGAAAGTGGATGCTCAAGGGCAAGTGAGCTTACAGGAGACCTACATCCATCTAGATTCAAGTTTATCAAGTCTCCTTAATTCCAAGGAAAGGGAAATAACTACCTAAGTATATTCTTTTTTTTTTTTTTAAATATATTTTAATGATTTTTTACAGAGAAGAAGGGAGAGAGATAGAGAGTTAGAAACATCCATCAGCTGCCTCCTGCACACTGGGGATGTGCCCGAAACCTAAGTATATTCTTTATAGTCTCCAAATCAAGAGTACAGATGTCTGTTCAGTCCCAGGAATATAACAATGTAGGATATGTATTCCAGGCTTGCTTCTAGAGTACCCTTAACATGAATTTCCACTAACCTGTGGATGTTTTTCTTTTGAGCCCAGCTCATATCTTTTAGAATGGCTGGTTGCGGTCATGGTTGGTTGCCATTTCTGTGGCTAAGTGGGATAGAATATCCATTATAGGTAAGGTATTGTAGTTAGTAATGAGGAAAACAATCCTTAGGTTTAGTCTTACTGGTATTATGCTTTCACCAACTGGCTTAAAAGGTCAGGAGAATGTGTGCTTTTTGTATAATGGCACACTTTGTATTTAACCGATTATCTTACAAACACAGGAAGACATTAACAAGGGATTAATGTACACAGCCCTTCAACCCCAAACACGTATTCGTAATACCTTTTCTAAAATCTGGCACCCTGATATGCAATTGGACTGTGGTAAACAGCGTGAACAGTTAGAATTGTTTTTGAGAGTAAAGTTCAATTGTTCCCCTATCCTGAAATGATTACCTCTGGCAGATATGTCTTTATCAGTGCCCCCAGATCGAGCAATCATTTCCTCTCCCCGCTGTTTAAGAGTCTCATACAATGGCTGCAGCTTCTCCATGTCCACCGACACGTTCTTGTTTTCACTGATCTGCTCCTTGATCTTCTCCACCTCAGCAGAGATGGAGGGCGGCTGCCTCAAGCGCTCCACGATGCGGTCCAGGCTCTCCAGAATCTGGTCTATCTTGTCATGGAACTGGTGGAAACATAAAGGGATCACTTATGGGAAAATGATCTGTGATACCCAATGTGAAAATTTAAATAAAAAAAACAAACACATACAAAACCACATCTACTTAATGTCACAATCAAGAACTAAATCTTAGTCCTTTTGTTGATATATCCATCCAAAAAATTATATCCAGCTGGGGTATCAAGACATCCTGAAACCATGATTCACAGTCAGACAGACATGGCCTTCTCTGCACCACACTACTTATGTAAACTGGACTGCTTCTCGCAAGTAACTAACTGAGTGATTCATTAAGAAATGGTATATTTTAATGTGTACGTGGGACAACACCTGATAGCATTTCATCTACTGCTTCACTTTATCTTAATTCAAATTAATGTTTTAAAGTAAGTTAAATAATCTGGGTGTTTATCTATCAAAATGGATTTTTTTATTCACTTTTACTGATTCTTTGGCATCCTCGAAAAGTTATATTAATAAATGTGAAATTCAAGGGTAGTTTTGGTTAAAGGAATTTAAGTTATAAGATTCCTGAATGGGAAAATGTTTGATGCTGAAATGAACATCTGTATTTAATTCATGATCAAACACATAATCAGATTAATGTAAGAATTGTAAACTTTTGTTTGTGAAGTTACCATAGACAGTGAAGCAAAGTTATAAAAACTTGTTCATTCTATACTATCCTCAACATTAAAGGAATCATCACTCACTTGACATTATAGAAGATGGACCACTAAATATCAGCATATCTAATAATAAAAAACAAATCTTGAAAATAGAAATGGCAGGTAATTTAGAATGTAACTTCTTAAAAAAAGATATCATCAAAAACAGAAAATACCATTTTCCAACTTTATATTTCTCCTTCATATTCAGCCTATCATTCACTCTTTATTTCTTTTTCTATTTTACTTCATTTTTTCTATCACCATTTATCCCCTCTATGCTGTCTTCCACCTCTACTCTGTTGTCCATGTCCGTGAGTTTCTCTCTCTTTTATTTTTCTTTTTTGCTCAATTCTTTCTTATTGCCTTCTTGGGAGTGCTTCATTCATAGTGATAATAACACTTTCTTTTATTTCTCCCAATGGCAAATACTGCATTCTATTCTGGATGGACACATTTAAATATTTGGACAATGTGGACAACTGTATTTCTCAAGTCATTGAAAATTATTTTTTTATTACATCTACAAGCAGGCAAAGAAAAATAAGGACTAGACTCAAGCAAACACTACCTCCGAGAGATGAAGATATCAATACTCAGAGATAATGTAGTGAAATGATTTTAGTTGAAATTTAATCAGGAGATGCCGGGAAATGTCTTTCCATGCTCTGCTGTTTGAAAGGACCCAATCGTATTTCTGGTGCACATCATTACCTGAGTAGATTGAGAAATGGCTTCATCCAGGGCCACAGCTCGCTTTTTGACATCTTCTTTAATTTGACTGTAAAGGTTGTCAGCTGCCACATACTTCTCTTGGATAGAAAAGCCCTCCTCTGGGCTCAGTTCCAGTAACTGTGGCCCAGTTTTGTTCATCTTATCTATATGAGGCTTGTGTTCGGCTATCAACTCTCGCAGTTGCTATAACAAACCAAACAGCTTCTCAGTATCTGAGGGTCACACCTCCATATTACAGCTGTCTACAACCCCAATGCATCCAGCTGGCAGGAAACTCCAAACAAACACCCTCCCCTCACAAGGCATTTAATACACGATGGCTTGTACAACTCTTTGCCAGAAAGAGATGCCCCTGACACAAAGATTAAACAACAGTCCGGTCGTGTCAAAGTCCCTTTAAGGACACATGCAAAATGTTGGTTGAGGGAAAGAACGTATTCTAGTATATTATGCATATACTCTTGTCATATTTTGACAAGAGTATTAGCCAAGGGTCATATAACATAAAAAGATTCTGAACTTACTATATGTCCCTAACATACAGAGACTAAGCCATAACTCTTGGTGTCTCTTTATGCACCATCATAATATATACAAATATTAATTAAAATAAAAGAAAGAAGGCTGGGAAAAAAGCAAAAAAAAGAAGAAAGAAAGAAATGAAGAAAGGGAGGGAGGCGGGAAGGAAGAAGGTAGGGGAGGAAGAAAGGAGGAAAGAAGGAAAAGGAAGGAAGGGAAAAGAACCTCAGCAGAAGGTAGCCACAAAGCTGAGAGAAGAAAAAAATATACATAAGGCTACATTAGGTGAGGTAAGCCTGCAAGGCATTGTAATTATATGTAAATCAATATAAAAACTATGTACATGTATATTATATTACACATATATGTATTAATCTAGTCTATATACATATATGATATATGACATATAAGTATATACATATGAATGAACTATTTGTAGTTACTTTTAAATGTTAAAGACTGCTAGGGTAATCAATCTATCAAATACACAGCTGTATACTGAGCATTATTTATAAGATGTATTTAAGGAAAATATGTTAAATGAATACATTGAACACTATCTAAGCAATTGACACAATGATATTTATATTAATGAGTGAGTGTGAAATCAAAATGAAGCCCCATTCTTTTTTAGGGAGACAAATAAATCTGGAATATCTACAATCCATAGAAGCCAGTGCCTCCACTGGGCAGAATTTCATGGGCCAAATCCAAAGCCACTCCCAGGGGAAAGATCAGTCATTGCCTGCAGGTTTCTCTGAGGCTGGCCTCCATAAAGCACTGAGGAGTGTTCCATTTATTCCACATTATTCATTTGGTTCCCTAATCAGCAGTTCCTTGTTCTCAGGTATTCTCCAAACTGTTTGCTATTTAGACCCAAATAAAAGCTTCTCTGAGAGAAATTATATTCAGGGAAAACAGTCTAGAGAAAAGCTACCAATCTTTTCCTGCAAATATTTTAATTTCTATCATTCACCAAGAAGAATCATCAGGATGGCCACATACCATTTTTTATTTAAAGTGCCCACTAAAATCAACCAAGTCAAGAAATTCTTTTGAAAAGTGAGGGAATCACTTCATTATATCATTAACCATCTCCAATGTAATATACTATTTTTGAAGTATTTCTGAAGGTGGTGTCAAAACTCTTTTGCAAAAGAGCTAGATAAACACAAATTCAATTTTTACAAAAGGAGGGGGATCTAATCTAACATGTTGCACATAAGAATGTGGAAAAGGTCATGTCTGCAGTCTAGCTCCTGGGTGGTCCAGGCTGCGATTTTCTTATTTTTGTTTCATATTGTTAGATCGTATTTTCATGCCACTTTACAGAATAGAGGTAGTGATGGTGATATTGGCTAACATACAATCTCATGGAAAAGAAATGTGTTACACGCCTTTTGGTTTCAATATTCTATATGGCATGTTTGTAAAACAAGCTCACTCTTTGAATTATCAAGTAACATGAGAGATCTAGGAATTCTTGAGTTGCTAGAGTCTAAGTAGGTCTCACCACCTTTTGGTTTCAATATTCTATAAGGCATGTTTGTAAAACAAGCTCACACTTTGAATTATCAAGAGACTCTCAAGTAACATGAGAGATCTAGGAGTTCTTGAGTTGCTAGAGTCTAAGTAGGTCTCACCTGTGTAGCACTACTACAAGACACCTTTGCTTGGGAAGCAGTGAGATGAGTCTTTGCAAAACCATTTCATGAGAGACAAGAGAAGAGCTACTAGGTGCCTTCGTGGGTGTATGTGTGTGCATGGAGAAAGGGCTCCATAGGAGGTGTCTTTTGCTTCATAAGTAACAAAATGATTCCTGATAGCATTATACTACCATAAGAGTCCAGTTTTATGTATGCTGGAGTTACCTAATGTAACTTCAAGATATCTACCATTTGGTGCCATGGCTCTTGGAGCCATTTTTCATTCCTGGCTAGAATGAATTGAAAGGTATTCCCAAAAATAGCTGAAGAGGATATTGTGAAGTTACAGAGGACAGCCACTCTAGAAGGGGGCGAATCGTCTGAAAAATTTAGTTTGAACAATTTGAAGATTTGGCTACACAGTTCTACAGTTCCTTTTATAGAGAAAATCATAAATTTGTTTTGAAAACTGAAAATGAGGCAAAAATATTAACTCAACTTTGAAATTTTCAAATCAATACCTGATTTTATGCTAATAATATAGCTACTCAAAACTCACCTCAGAGTAGAAGAAATCCCTGAAACATTTTATATTAAAAAGCATCCAAAGGACAGAAATCAGGATTT